TTACTTACTTACTTACGTAACTAACGTAACGTAACGTAACGTAAGTAACGTACGTACGTACGTACGTACGTAGTACGTAGTAGTAGTAGTAGTAGTAGTAGTAGTGTAGTGTAGTAGTAGAGAGAGAGAGAGAGAGAGAGAGAGAGAGAGAGGAACCTGTGGGTCCAATTGAATTTTTAGGACTTGCAAATGCACCTTATCCTTTTTCACATAAGTTGTATAACTTTGGAAATATATATTTAGTATTTTTGTTTGCGCACACAAATGTGTGAAAAGCTTCTAATAGGTCGTCATTAAAGTTTTACAATAAATTTGGCAACCGTTCTGATCGCTTGATATTGATCAATTGGTTGAGAGAATCTCCTGCTATTTAAATGTTACTTTTTTTTGCCAAATTAGATTGGGTTGAAATTTTGAGGGTTTGTCTGCCTCATTTAGTGGCACCTAAAAAAATATAAAACATATCATTTTAAAATAATGAACAATAATTCTTTCAACATTGCATGATATTTTGGTCATTTTATTTTTAAGAAATATTTTTTACTCATATTTTAAGAGGTATGAGATTGAGAAGTACACGTCCAAATTTCAATCCGATCTGATTTGTTAAAAAAAAAAACAATCCAATCAAGATCCAACAATTGGGACGTTCGTCAAATACACTGTATAAATATATATCTTATTTTGTCTTCTTCCTTCATGCAATATAATATCAAATTATATAATATAATATGTAATTTGTAATATATATAAAATTCCATTTTCGCATAATGAAAGAATATTGCTTGGTAGGTTCAAGATGCTTGGTATGAGGTTCGCTAAAAAGTAATAATCTTGGTGATCTTGCGGGTTTATAATTTCATTGATAGTATGGTGTATTACCTTTTTATATGGAATTTTATTTGATATTTATCTTTTTTAAAATCAATATAAAATTTATTGCCAGTGAAACTTTTGTTAAGAGTGTTTTCCCTAAAGGCCTGAATAAATAATAGATGCTATATGGTTCATCAGAGCATTTGTCTTTTTTAAGTTGAAGGAGAGTTTTTATTCCGCCTTGTCACCCCAATTACTTTATAGTCAACAAATTTTGTTAAATACTCGACTAATGATTCACTGCTCTATGTACCCCTCGTAGGAAATAAATAATTAAATTATGTTTAAGAAACAAAAAATCATTCAATTTTTTGTTAAATTAAAAAAATTAGAATTACTAGTAAATTTTTTTATAAGTTTATTAGTTGAGAGATTAAATGTATAATTTATGGCCTAGGATTTATTTATAGCACCTCGCTATCGAAAAGAACAAAATTTTGGTGGAGTTAAACATCTTCACGTGAAGTTTTATCGTATATATAATAGGGAAAATAACGTATATATCCATTATATTTACCATTATTACAGGATTACCTCCAAGTTTCCGTTATTATACCTATGGCTAATTTTCACCATCCTAACAATCTCTTTTAAAAAAGATGGAAATGCCCATTTTTTATTTTTCAAAAATCGAAATGGAAATAAAGTTAAGTTTTTCCTCGCTTTAAACCGTTGAAGAACACCCACTCGAGCGACAAATCCTTTCGTTTCTTTTGGAGTGTTGTGTTAATGTCGAGCTCCTCCGTCTCCATGTTCCCCCTCTTTTGGGCTCTCTCTCTCTAACGCTCTAGAAGAAATGATGATAAATGGCCTCTGAACCTCCTTTGGGAGACCACTGACTCTGTCATTTATCCAATCGATGAGCACTTGGGGGCCGTTTGGGTACTTGGAAATATATTGTCTGTGAAATATATTACTGGCGTATTATATTATTGCGTACCTGCAAATAGATTGTTATTGTTTGAGTAGTATTTAGATGCAACCTGGGAAATATATTGCTACTGTTTGGATATGTCCGGAAGAAATATGGGAAATGCATTACCAACATTTTACTAACACTTGCCTATAAACTATCATTTCTTTCTTTTTTGTCATAAAATTCCATTGAAATGCGGAATTAAAGTCAGCATCACACCATTCAAAAAAGATTTTCCAATAATAACATCATCACCATTCCAAAAAGATTTTTAATAATAACTTGTACCATTTTAAAGTCATCCTCACACCATTTCCTACTTATTTTGCATGTCTTTGGCACTTACATGGAATCACATGTCTTCTAACACGATTGGACTTTGGTTTCAACATGATAAGTCATTGGAATAAGATGATTGGAATAACATATTTTTCTTGTGATAAGCCTTATTTTTATTTATTTTTTTATAGAAGTTTTTCAAATGCCTCTATATAATTTCAAATATGCAATAAATTTATGATATCAAATTCAAAATCTTTATGGTACAAGTTAAAAAATGAGAAGAAGTTTGATTAGTAAACTAGAAGGTTTGGTAATTGCAGTAGAAAATTTTGAGGCATTGGAGGAGACTAAAGAGGTAGGGCTTATCCACACCAAATGGTTAAAAGAGAGGGAGCATATTATGCAAACTAGTTATTAGGGCTCAAGAGAGGGAGAGGGGACAGTCTTAGAGAGGGAGG